CCAATTTCAACCAGATATCTGAACATCGTATCAACAAGATCAACATTCCATCTCAAAAAGTGAAACTTTCCTATCTCGTTCAAGGTGGTGGTATAAGATGCCAATTTTTCGTAGTTAAAAGATTCAATTTTTTCGCGTCTTTCTTTCAATAGAAATGGAATTGAATCCAAAAACTTTCTGGCAACTTCAGTTAAATAACATTGTAATAAAAATATTGGCCGCGTTAAAATCTTTAAATAAAGCATATTGGCTATTTGATAGATGAGCTTATAAAAGGGAAGTAATATCGCTGGGAAACCAAAAAAAAGGGCATACTTGGAGAGATATTTTTTTGAAACAAGATCTAAAAAGCTCCCAGATGCAAAATGCTGCAGGCCACTTAACGATGCAACTGAAAAAATCATTTTGCATACGCTCACATTGAGTTTGAAGGTAAAATATGCGCGATATGAGGAAATAGCACAGGGTCTCTTTCTTTTTGGATCAATAAATGCGTTATACGTTGCATTTGACCGATCAAAAGCTCCCAACAGTCTGGGATAAAAGTTCGTGATAACCTTTTCATACCAGCCAAAATTCATTGCAGCCTCAACCCAGGCTTCATTGATAAGAAACGGAGGACCTTCGTATATGACAACTGGTGAATATTGCTTCCTTGGACCAACATGGTATTCTGGGTGATATTCTAACCCATCCCCACTGTTGTAAATAAGAACTTTCCATAAATACTCATGTTTGGGATCAGGAGAGGCGACCTTGAAAATTTCACACAACATTGCATGTCTTGTAAATCCACAATAAAAAACGACAGAGTTTGTATGATTTCCAAAAGCTTTTAGGTCTGTATTTGATGGCAAGATTTTCAGATTCGTTACCTTCTTATAAACAGAAGATGGATTGAAATCGGAGACCTGTCTGATTGTGTCCATAATTTTATCGTAGACCTCAGAGTTAATTCCATAGGCTTGGTTTACTAGGTTCTGATTAGAAAGCGAAAATATTTTTTTCATGGCTTTATTTGCATCTGCTCGATTTTGTCCCTCAAACACCTCGGGAGTAAAATCGTCTGCTATGAACTGGCAAAGATCTTCAATTTTCAAACTTTGACTCAGCATGCTACGTACAAGTAATATGAGTGCAAGGGTGATCAATGTTTTCATCGTGCTCATTTTGGCGAAAAAATCTAGCCTGATGGTGTAAAAAGCAAGTTATTAATTAGTGTTATTAAAATCAAGGCACTCGCACTTGATTTACTCCAATTGACTACGGGCAAATTGAGCATTTAACCTTGTCCTGATTTGTCATTCAAGCCGCAACCCTAGTTCTGTGATGTTTGGTGTCCAAAGCTATGTGTCTAATTGGACATTTTAGGAATTATCCAACGCTATATTTTGAGTGGAGGCAAAAGCTATCGTGAAAAAAGTACATCGAAGGCTTGATTTTTGAGAAACGGACAAGGTTAAATGCTCAATTTGCCC